GATTTTATTCATTAATTTGAATGCTAGTGTTTGTGGTTTTATTCATTATTTTGTGGTTTAATTCATCGATATGCTAATTTGCACTATTAACAGTGTTAATTTGCAATGTTAATTTGTTGTTTGACAAAGTAGGACCTCAGCTGGTTCATCGATATGCTAATTGATTCATGTTAATACGTCTACTTAACATGTTAATAAGCTAATTTATTCATCAATATGCTTCTTGTTCACCACATTATGTAATTTGTACTGTTAATTTGTCCACTTGCATGCCTAAGTCCTCATAACGAGTGAGATTACTTGTTTAAAATAACAATTATGTACTTATGTAGTTTGTCTTGTTGATGATATTTACTTGAGAAATCATCTTTGTCAATCCTTTATTGCTTCTATCTTCCTCCTTGTGAATGTAATTTAAATTAACACGAAACCTTTTGTGTGTTTTTCAACTTCTGTTAAGTAGTCATTCATTCCTTTCTAATTCAATTTATGTACAAAATTTAATTTTAATTTAAAAGAAAATAATAATAATTAAGATTAACTTTAAATTTAAATTGCGTAACTTAAAATTTCCATAAATTGTTTGAGATTTGGTATAAGTTTAAAGTTCCATAAAATTTCAAGCAACACCGTTTTACAACACCATCTCTCTCTCATTCTTAGTATAAGCATTGTAGTTATGTCTCTCAGTCATCGAGCAACACCATTTTCCTCAAAATAAACATCCTGAATAATGCGATAGAGTTAGAAAGTATTGTTATCCTTGAGTTGAAAAGTCTTGATAATTGCGATAGAGTTATAAACGCTGATCAATTACTCCCCTTGTCAGCAAAAAGATCGGCTACATTGTTTGCCTTCCTGATAACATGTTTGAGTTCAAATTGAATTCTTGATAACATGTTAAAATCTACCCTCTTTTGGGAATTATTTTATCAAACTTCATGTTATTGGTTTGATCTCTATGTTTCTCAGTTTGCTAGCTATACATTTCCAGCTCTAAGGTTTCTTATTTTATCAATTTTTGTTTGTTGCATGTGTTAAATTCCATGGGACTTTGCTTAACTATGGATTCATTTTTCTGCAAGTATTAACCTTTTCTATCCATCCCAAGTTCTTGTGAATTCAGTACTTATTTCACGACGACAACTATTTAAAATGGCGGAAAAACAAGTTACCATTTTGTTGTATTGGGGGTGGAAGAATGAAATATGAATCGGAGGGTTTATTGTATGATTCTCCTACCAAAGGTGGAATTGTTATAAATAGTGGCACAAAATTGTCGGAGTTTATGAGTAAAATTTACACTGTAATGAGGGTGGACAGGTAAAATTACAAGTTGAGGTTGACATGTAGGGATCCATTGACACGAGGAGTAGGACCAAACATGAATACATATGTCAAACTGAAAATTAAGGACGATGAACTTGTTAGTTCTTTGGTTAATGTGGTAGTCGACAACCCCAGCATGGCTAGTGTTGCTTTGTACGTTAAGACGGAGGACGTCAATGCTGTAATAGGTGGTAGTCAGACTGAGGGGTGCCTAACCACCACTACCATGTCTTACACTGAGTTGCTCAGATGAGAGATAGGCAACTCAAAATTTTTATTTTTCGGGTTGACGAGTGAATGTTCCACTCCCATGGGCATGTAATTAATAAATAAGTCTGGTCATTACTCCTATACCCACCAACATTTTGGGTTTGTTACATATGGTGGGTACTCAAATCAATGAGTTAGAATGTTCAAATTGGTGAGGAGGGGATTAAGTTGGGCGAACAAGATGATTTCCATAAACCAGTAATGCAACAAAGTCCAATCGGGGAAAATGAAAAAATGTGTGCGAATGATAGTACAAATGTCTCAAATGATGATGAAAAAAAGTTTGATGAACTAATGATTGATGAGCCAGATGACGATGATGGGAATGATGAACAAATTGAGGCTAGCGGGGAGGTTCTGATGCATAAGCCTTACTCACCTTTCTTCACAAACTTTGAATTTGGTGAGTATTCTGATGTTGAATTGAATTTGTGGGATCTGGTAAAAATGAAGCTGGAGAAAGGTACGATTTTTAAAGATAAACTACATTGATTAGGGCAATTAAATGGTCTTTCATCAAGTTGAATCAAGATTATGTCATGGTGTAGACGAATACAATGGTGTGGGCTGTACAGTGTAACATGCATTTGCAGCCTAACTTCAAGTGGAGAGTACGTGCTTGTTTTCGGAAAAACCTCAAAACATTTTAGATGACGAAATATGACCTCATAGCTACTTCTACCCTTGAATTAGTCATGCCCACAGACAATTAGATTTTGACATCATATGTCATAGTATACTAGGACTTGTTGGTGATACACTACAAAATGAAAATGTCAACAATTCAAAAAAAAAAATATAAAGGAAAAATTTAAGCATGATATTTTTTACAAGAAAGCTTGGATTATGAGGAACAAGACCATTACTATAATTTTTGGTGATTGTGACTCGTTGTGTGACATGTTTCCTAAATTTTTGGGTGCCATCAAGAAGTATAACCTTGACTCGATTGTGATGTGGTGATACAACTATGAATATGATGAATATAATATTTTTTGTCGAGTAATTTGAGCATTCAAAGCCAGCATTAAAGGGTTTAAACATTGTCGACCTGTTGTCAGTATTGATGGAACATTTCTGCATGGCAAGTGTAAGAGAAAGTAGTTAGTGGCGACAAGTTTTGATTCTAATACATAACTAATTCCCATTGCATTTTCTATCGTGGAAGAGGAGAATCAATCAATCAATCATTTTGAACATCGATATAAGATGGAAAAATGAAAAGAAAGTGAGTTAGAACTTTCTAAAGATGTGTGGAACGAGTACAACATGTGTACCAAATAAGTCGTATCCACGAAGTGACACCATTTCATAGGGGGCGTGGTCTTGCTGAAGTGGTGACTGGAGGTGGTCAGAAACAAGTTGTTTGTCTTGAAGACCGCTCGTGCACATGCAAAAAATGTGCAATTTATAGAATTTCTTACTCTCGCGTATTGACTATATGCTCTCATTTTCAATCTTACGTAGATCCTATATACAACATCAACAATTTAGAGAAAATTTGGGTACCCCAAATGTACCATCTGGAACATGAACATTATTGTGATGATCCTCTATATCCCAAGTCAGTCCCTGATCGCAACCAACGTCGAGACTTGGTTGGTTGTCCAAATATCCTGCGTATACGAAATGAGATGGACTTCTTGCCAAAGGGTTGTAATCAGATATATTGTGAGTTGTGTGGCAAAGTGGGTCACAATCGTCAGAAGTGTTCATCCAAAAACACTCAAGCTCTAACATCCCTTTCCTAGGCATATGTAGTTTTTTTTTATTGTTAAGTTGTCCTATGTTGTACTAAAGTGTGTAATGGACCTTATGATGTGTTTATGTTGTAATATTTTGTAGTTAACACTAAGAATGGGATGTTTGTTGGAATGATATCAGTATAATATCTTCTATGTTGGAATCTTAATTTTGTCACTATATGATTGCAGATGTTTTGTTATATAATTGATGATTGTATTTAATTTGGTTTTGCAAATTTTTTGTTTTGGCCATGGACAATGATGGTAGACAGTTACTACATTCTGGTCCACACGACCACTATGTTCTGTCATTGCAGGTAGAACATCAGTGAAAATATATATGGCAAGGCGTAAATCCCCACCTTTGCATTGTAGGCGTAGTGATCGCATTGTACGACAACTACATGTCAGGGAGGAGCGAGTCATTCGTCATTTGTTTACTGCAGGGTTTTTCGGGACGCACAAGGTTGCGTTAGAAATGGTTAGACTGACATCTCATCACAACCCTAGTTAAGAGGCGGCATGTTGAGACACACACATTCTATCTTCCTGTGGGTAAGGCTACTAGCACACTTCAGGATGTCGTAGTGCTTATTGGACTACTGATAGATGGTATGCCAATGTGTGGCAAAGATAGTTGTCCTGGTGGCATGACTTGGCCTGCACTATGCCAACAATTGCTTGGTTTTAGACGAACTGCATGAGCTATAGACGAGTCTTTCCTCAGACTTAGTGCGTTGTGAACTCTTTTGGATGGAGGTGTCCCCGTTGATGCCGGTGATGATTTCATAGCATGTTATGCCAGAACATACATCATGCTATTGATAGGTTCTTATTTGTTCATAGATAAGTCATCGAATAAGGTGAAGTTGATGTATCTTCTATTGCTTGTCGATATTATAATTGTCGATCAGTACAGTAAGGGGAGCATTGCATTGGCCTGGCTATACTGCAAGATGTGTGTCGTAACTAGATGCGATGCTAAGGATATCAATGACTTGCTTGTTCTGCTTTAGGTATTGACACAATATATAGCCATCACTGCAATGGCCTGGCTATGCTGTTTTGAAAATCAACCACATTATTGACATACTTTTATCCCAACAATTGCACTGGAAAGTGTCATGAAATAAATATTTTTTTTAGTTATGAATAAGTTAGCTTTTTACATATGATCCGCTTTGTTTTAATAGATATTATTGTCGACATCAGTCACATTATTGACCAAAATGTTGTGTTTGAATGTTAAATTAAAAATAATTAAATATAAATATAATTTTTGTTTCCTACTTTGTTATTTTGAAAAATTAACTTGATGGGATGAAAAAGGCGATTTTTTTTTGTTATTTGTACTGACGTCTTAAACACTTAAATGTAAGTTTCACTGACGTTTCCATTGCAATAGACACGCTAGTTTGATGATTAAAGTTTTATCAGTAAAGACATTATTTCGAATGACGTTTTTAAAATTACATGAATTTGAGAAATACTATCAAAATTGCTCTGTTTTGGGTATAAGCTTCATATATATATACCCTTCAGATCTGTTTATTCCAAAGACGTTCTGCTGTTTCTACATAAAAAAAAATTTAATCTTTTAATTAAACATAATCATACCTTGATGTACCATGTCCTTCACAAGACAACCCTTTGTATTCAACAACGTGAGCGGAGGATAGAGTCGGTAGTAGACATGGAATAACTAGAAGCCTTCCCAGATGATGAACCAAATGATGATAAATATTCATTATACTCTCTACTCCTGACTGAAAACATGTCAACTGAAAACATATCAGGTCCTATAGCATCCGCCATTATTTTCAATGAGGTCACATCGCCATTCAAATACTGCATCACTTGCCTTATGTTTGGCCTAACCGTTGGATTAGAATGCGAGCAAAGTAGACCCAACGTCAAAACTAGCTCCATTTCTTCAACCTCAAATTCACCTCCCAATCTCGGATCAATTGCCTCAAGAATAGCTCCTTCTACCCATCTCTCCACAACCCACTTTGCCAAAATCATGTTATTAGGCTGTGGCTCTACAGGTTTTCTTCCACAAGCCACTTCGAGCATAAACGCCCCAAAAGCGAAGACGTCTGTGCTTGTAGTTGCCTTGCCAGTTCTAGTCAACTCTGGTGCAAGGTAGCCAACAGTTCCAACCACATGGGTTGTTTCAGGGTTTGTACCATGATCGTATAATCTAGTAAGCCCAAAGTGTCCAAGCCGACCGTTTAAATCAGCATCTAGCAATACATTGCTGGTCTTCACATCTCTGTGAAGAAAAACTTGTTCCCATTCTTCATGTAGATATAGAAGGCTAGAAGCTATCCTTCTGAGAATTTGATAGCGTTGTCCCCAATTAAGGCTTGGTTTTTGGTTGCTGTATAAGAACTTGTCGAGACTTCCATTGGGCATGTAATCATAGACCAAGAGAAGCTCTCCCTTTCTCCGGCAGTAGCCGAGGAGGGCCACCAAGTTCCTATGTCTCAGTCTTACCATGCTAGCAATTTATGCCACGAATTCCCTCATCCCTTGTGTCGAATCATGTGAAACTCTCTCCATAGCTACTATTGCTTCGGAAGAAGGAAGTACCCCTCTATAAACTTTTGCAAAACCTCCAGCTCCAAGAAGCTCTTTCTCTTTGAAACCTTTGGTTGCTTATGCTTTGTAGAGATCCTTATAGGTAAATCTCTGAGGTCCATATTCCACTTCCCAATCCTCTCTTATTTCTTCATACCTTCTCTTTCTCAGAATGTAAGCAGTCTCCCACATAGAGTAATGATCACAATAGATACTGAAACAATTGAGACTACCATTTCAAAAACTGGTAATTTCTTTGATTTTTTTGTACGAGGAACCGAATGAAGGTTTGAGAGTTGACTTCAACATATATAATTTCTTTTTTCTTGGTTGACATCAACATATATAGTGATCTCTTGGATGTGGCTATTTGTCTGGCCTTGCTTTTACTTATTATGATTATTATAATATAATATATGTATGGCCTTACTTTTTCTTACTATGATTATTATAATATAAATTTTCCTTTTTTCCAGTAAGACCACAGTACGTATATGTACATGACTTTGGGGCTGGCGTTGCCCATGGAACTGCCTAGGTTCCAGGCTTGCCAAAGGTGCCTGCTCACCAGTCCTGGTGTCGCCCAAGGCACCTGTCCAGTCTCTTGGCATCGCTCAAAGCACCCTGTCAGCCTCAAGCCTCGCCAATAATGCCCAAGTTCGTCGCCTAGCTAGCTGCCCTGCCTTCGTCATCTTGTCTTGCAGGTTCACAAAGGCTTCTCTGCCACCTACTCCGACTGTACAAGGTGGTTACTCTCTGTGAGGATTTATTCCCATACAATTGGCGTCAGTGGAAAATAATTATGTTTTCTACTAACCAAGAAGCCTTGAAACTATGACTGACGAGAGAGCCCTCGATCCCAGAACTAGCTGTTCACAACTTTCACTACCCCCGATCCACGAGGATTCTGCTAACTATGACCTCCAGTTATCAAAGGAGGTGCTGCCTAGTGTTGGGCAGGACCATTCAAGTGAAAATCCTCTTTCTCACCCCAACCTTCCTGCTCTCAGTGTAGAAGGCAGGTTAGCCTCTGAGATTGATTACCATGAGGTAATCAGGAAGAAGACGGAGGAGCAAGAAACTCTCAGGCAAGACCTTTTATGCCAGAGTGGCAAACAACTCGCTAGCGAGGTCAGGCGGTCAACCCGTAACCATGACCGTCGTAACGATCACGTTGAGGAAGCCTATTCCTCCTAACATAGGAGCCATTCTCGAGCAAGTAGCTACTCAACTCACAATCAGAGTCAAGGTAGGTACTAAACCTAGAGAAACGTTATTAACCGCACCCTTAGAGACCCTTCTCTAAGACATGATCACCCTTATTGTAGGGGAGGACTCGAAACAGAATGATAACGCCATCCTAGGGAGCGAAGAGTATGGCAAGAGACTCATTCCCGCTGTCAAAGGGAATACCACTGGGATGACTATAGAGGAGAAAAACGAAGGCGCTCTGAGCCAACTCATGATGTGGCCATTCTGCCGCAACATGACTATGCTCATGATGACCCCGTTTATTCAGCGAAGGAGAGGGCGAGGCAGACCCTAGCAAGGATGACTACCACACCTTTGGTTCGGTCCATACAAGCATTTGAACCCCCAGGGAAGTTCAATCCTCTGACTTTCGAGTTATAAGATGGCCAGTCGGACCTGGTGCTTCACATAGGAGCTTACACCAACAAGATGACCCTCTAGACAAACTATGAGGCATTGATGTGTGATTAACCCTAATTAAAATATAATTTAAAAGGTAAATTGTGTTAGTTAAATAAAGTAAACTAGTCAAAATAAATCAAATTAGAGTTAGTGTGTGAATAAAGGATAATGCATTAATTGTTGTTCTTTTTAGGATTTTGTACGTCAAAGCTACAAACTACTAGGGAGTCAATTGCATTAAAGCTACAAACTACTGGGGTGCCAATTATCAAAACTCAAAACAAAGGGGGATCAAAGAATTCAAGGACAACTAACAAGACTTTCATGCCACCTAACAAGATTCAAAGCCACCTAACAAGACTTTCACCCTCCCCTGTTGCCTATAAATACCACCCCTTAGGACTTGTAAATCATTCATCTTTTGGTAGTGGAAAACCCTCCAAAAGTATTATTGCTTTCTTTATTGCTTATTGCTTTCTTTAAGTATTATTTTCTTTTATTGTATTATTGCTTTCTTTTACTTTAAGTATTGCTTTCTTTTATTGTGTTATTGCTTTCTTTTATTTCCATTGCTTGAGCTTCCTTCTTCCCTTAGAGGAGTGAAAATCTTCCACTTTTCTAGAGCTTTACCAAAGCCGTGAAGGGTGGAACGTGATTCACTCATTCTTTATCGAAGATCGGCTCCTTGTGTAAAGTGTTTTACCTTGTAACTCCTCTACTTGGAGGGATGAGCATCACTCACTTTTCTATCTTTAACAAAGCCATGAAGAGTGAGTAGTTTCTCATCCAATCTTTAGTAAGAGGTGATTATCCGGAAGTTATATTTATGCATTTTGTTTATGCTTAGCTCTAGTCTTTATTTCTTCATAATGTCTTCTCATCATATTGTTGTCTTTATTTTAAGCATGAATAGCTAAATCTTTTAGTTGGCAAAACCAAGAGGAACCTCCACTTGGGTATACCATTTCAACTCATTCTCCTCCCCTCTTTCAGAGTTCAATGGTTCGGTTTGACTGGGTTGAGGGTGGATAACTTGGTGAGTCTTTGATATTCCGTAGGCCTAGTCACGGTTTATGCTTAGATACTCACCAATCTTACCCCTAATTTTCCACGAATCAATCGTTCATTCATGCTCTATTGGAGGAGGGTTTCGAGTTGAGACGGTATTCCTATTGGAGTGACCTCTTGGATTTGCCAACATTTGTTTCTTATTTTACTAGCATCAAAATAACTTCACCAAATAATTTTCAACAATCAAAGATTTTACACTTTCTTTGTCCCAAAATCACCTTCCCCTCGGTTTACTTCCTTCCCTGTGGAAACGACCTTGGAATACCACCAAATAAAACACGATCCGCGAAAGTCTCCTTGTGCTTAGGGAGCACTTTTGTTCACACATACTCACATTTGAAATCTTCTGTTGCCTTTTCTTTTGACATCATACCTAGGAGAGTGACACTCCCCTTCATTCATATACTATACATGCTAAAAGGTGATGTTTATAGGTTAGGAAACAACAAGGAATTTTGTCAAGCATTTTTGGCGCCATTGCTGGGGAAGGCAAGTGTCAAACCAAGAAGGTGATTTTCGGACGACGAAGGTAAGTCCCATGATCTGTATCATATGCAGAGGTACGTTGTTCCATGTACATAATCTTGTTTGTGTATAATTTTGTTTGTATATATTTTGTTTTATGTGGAGGCGAAACGACCCAAACTAACTTGTTAGACAAAACTTGGCCCTTACCATGAATATTGACCAAGAACAACCTGAGGATGCGGGTGAAAATTTTGACAATATAGGTGCAAATCCAAATGTCCAAAGGGGTGGGGGACCATAAGAACCCCAAATACCCAATCCGAGAATGAATTTTCCCCCTCCCGTGAATGAGGGGAATAATTTTCAAATGAATCCCCCGGTGAGGTCAATGAGGGATTTCCTACAACCAACATGAAGCACCACACCATCATGCATCCTCCTTCCGGTCCAAGCTCATCTTTTCATAGTTAAGCCGGGATGTTGCAACTAATTTCATGTTCAACGGACTTGAAACTCAGAGCCCCTATTTACACATAAGAAATTTTGAGGAAATAGTTGCAACCTTCCTTCGCAATCATGGGATGGAAGAGATAGCTAGAATGAAATTGTTTCTCTTTTCCCTAAAAGACAAGGCAAAAATGTGGCTTATTTCCTTAAGGCCTCGAACCATCACATCATGGAGCCAAATGATTTCTGAGTTTTTGAACAAATTCTTTCCGGTGCATAAAACCACTGCCCTAAAAAAGCAAATTCAAAACTTTTCAGAAAAGCCCAATGAGCAATTCTATCAATGTTGGGAGAGGTACAAGGAATTGCTACAATCCCTTCCACATCATGGCTTTGAACCATGGCAATTGGTGAGTTTCTTTTATGAAGAATCACACCGGGCCATCGACAGTTCATTGACATGATGTGTAATGGAGAGTTTTTGAACAAAGACCCTAATGAGGCCTTAGATTACTTTGATACATTGGCACAAAATGCACAATCATGGGACATTACAGATCCCACCGATGTACCAAGGTCTTCTCCTCAAAAGAGTGGCCAAACTCAAGGGGGAGGGATTTATGATTTGAGAGACCGGGAAGACTTGTTTTCAAAAATTGCTAAATTGTCAAGGAAAGTTGAGAGTCTTGAAGTCAATAAGAGACACGAGGTGTCTAATGTGTCACGAACCGAGGAGGGTTGTTCAATTTGCGAATGTATGGAGCATTCCCTATCGGATTGCCCAAACATTCCGACCCTTAAAGAAGCATACCATGAACAAGTCCATGCCTTCAACCAAACGAGGCAATCATTTTCTCCCAATTCGAATACTTACAATCCGGGTTGGAGTAATCACCCAAATTTTAGTTGGAGAAATGAAAATCCCATTCCTCATGGTTCAAGTGCATATGCATCTCCCATGCCTCCCAAGCAAAACCAATACCATGGCCAAGGGCAAGCATCTAGCTCTCAATACCCCCGGACCAATCCACAAGGGTATTCGTCAAACCCACCACCACAGAATTTTTCACCAAATCCACCTCCACAAAGTTTTTCTCAAGGACCGTCCAATCCATCCACATACCAACCTCCTCACAAAAGAAATTTGGAGGATATGGTTCATTCCTTCATTCAAAGCCAAACCGCCATCAATAACCAAAATGCCACAGCCATCAATGATGTAAGAGCCCAACTCACAAAGTTGACAAACTCCATAGGGGCATCTCAACAAGAAAAGGGGAA